CGCGGCGGGAAGCTTTCAAATGAACACGTCGATAACTTCGCAACGCCGACGGGCCTTCGAACAACCGATCTGCCTACAGTACATATTATTAACCAATCCTCATCAGGCTTTGTTCACAATAGCTCATCTACCTTACCGGTTCAATCGCATGTCGATTCGTCAGCCCTTCGTTTGCTATCTGGTGTTGCCGCCAGCGAGGCAGTCAACTACTTCGGACGTTAATATGAGAAGTACTCTTGGTGAATCGCTACTCGGGGAAGAGGTTCACGAAAAGTCTACATCAATAATGGACACGTGAGGGGTCTGGTGTCACAGAGGGATGGGCTATTGCTTTTGGAGGAGATAATATGACGACGACAACAACAACAATTACAGTAAATTGCCCTGGTCAGCAATCAGGATTTGGATGTATAAAAAAAGAGACCTGAAAATTACAGCAACATTTTCAAACTTTCTCATACGGCTTGGCGTGCCCTAGCGTTAAGGTTCTGACAAGAAAAAAGCGCAGGAGGTACAGGAATCGTAAGCAAACAGCTTTGACGGCACATTGACTGATAATATCTTCGACAACTTAGCAATGCATGGCAGCCAACAAATATGGATGAGGTCATATACGTTGTTCAAAATAAATTTTTGGTGGTAAATTTGGTAAGATATAGAAAATGAACGAGAGAATATTGGCAAAGGCTATTTATTGGTACTATCCGTTGTGATGTGAGTTGGTCGTAATTCGTTCAATTCCATTGTGCTGGGGCAACACTGCCGTTTTGCTTTCAAGCTGAGGGCCCTTAAGTTCTAATAGCGGATTAATAATCCAGCATTTAGTATCTGTCCATAGAATTGACTGGACATAGTTATTAATTCACTCGAGTCCCATTTTCTTTCTCTTCCCGCCAAACGAATTAATTCCCTCACAGCGCCCGAATGATCTAAAACTTATCTAGCTTGGAGATTGCCCAGATCTATTTCATCATCAGAGTAAGGATGCTCCTTCTAAGCTTATTGACAAGCCTTGCCTGTTTCGGAGTTACCGTATCAGCAGTTACCGCCAGGAACGATGATGTGACTGATTCTCATCATTATCAAAACGTCATATACTGGGGGCAGAACGGAGGATCTGCTGTTGAAAACAATGATCTATCAGTTTACTGTGCACCATCCGCCGGTATTGACATCGTAGTATTAGCATTCTTATATGAATTTGGCAATGGTAACACAATTGCCTCGGGTACCATTGGACAGTCATGCTCAATTTCCGCATCTGGTGGTTCTTTTCAATGCGAAAATATAGCAACTGCAATCAAGCAATGTCAGTCAAACGGCGTCAAAGTCATTTTGTCGCTTGGTGGCGCGGTTGGAGCATACTCACTCTCATCTCAGCGGGAGGCTGAAGCTATCGGTCAATATCTTTGGGATGCATATGGCAACGCGGAAAGTGATACGGTCCATCGGCCCTTTGGTACCACATTTGTTAACGGCTGGGACTTCAATATCGAGGTCTCCGGTGGTAACCAGTACTACCAATATCTTATCAACAAATTGCGCTCTAACTTTGATTCCGACCATTCCAATATTTATTACATTACGGGGGCGCCACAATGTCCTATTCCGGAGCCTAATATGCAACTGGCGATCACAAATACAAAATTCGACTATCTTTGGGTCCAGTTCTACAATAACCCGAGCTGCTCGGTTAATGGGCCCATCAATTTCGATGCCTGGGTAGCGAACGTCGCCGGGACACCATCTGCCAATGCTAAAATTTTCATCGGTTTACCGGCTGCCCCTTTTGCAGCAACGGGGACCTCCAGCGGCGCTCAATATTATCTACAGCTAGATGCGCTGGCAACCTTAATCTGTGGTCATATCAGTGAGGCCGCGTTTGGTGGAATTATGATGTGGTCCGCCGGATTTTCTGACTCCAATATCGGTAATGGATGTAACTATGCTCAACAAGCCCGAAATATCCTCGACACGGGATCCCCATGCTAGCGGTTCTGAGGCAGCTATTTCAGAAGTGGTGAAACATTCGCTCTCTATCATAACGCGGGTGATAACAAACCTTGAGGACGAGAGACTTGTGGCCATGTCGCTGGATTAGTAACGGTAAGCAGAAAGCCCTTGTGCAGGAAGTTGTTGATCGTCACGAAAAGAAGAAAGGGGAGGAGGTACCATGTGTCTGCTAGTTTCGTGTAAAATACATGAAATTTTGTAGACAGCGGTCTAGATCAAAGTGCTTATAGTACGAGAGGCGACAGTAAGATTATGGCCTACTTGGGACATTGTAATCACCCATGGCAAATATCGTATAAGAGCTAAGTAGCGCAGGATGTAGGGTGGGGTCATCAATGTCGAAGTCAAAATCGTCTAATGCAAAGCCAAAATGCCCCAGCATCACCATCCTTGCTCTCGTCTGGAGTAGGATTCGCGTAACATTTTAGTTGACACTCCCATGCCTCTGAAGTAGATATTAAGAGGGACCTTAGCCCAAAAGATTCGTGTGCAAGAATGTTGAAAGTTTCGAGCGACTGAAGCTTCTAATCGACAAGCAGGACACAACTTTGGTCCGATAATTTTAGATAGATGAACCTGGCGACTATACTTATGACAAGATCGAAGAATTAACCTGCTGAAGTCCCATTACACACGGGAAGTTCGATAATATTGTCTACTTTGAGAGAAGGTGATCATGTCCGGGGAACAGATTAAGATACCATATATTCAATAAATTATATCCACTAGATGTCTATGATTGTAGAGCAAGCAACGGGTCCAGCCCTGTTGTTTCTTGTTATTTGTCGGGATCCTTGTAAGCATGATCAACATGCCTTATTAATCAGTTCAATCCAAGAAACATATAGTTTTATCTCAAAGACAGTACTGAAGTCTTTTATTCCACGGTTTTGATTCAATTTTATGGTTAGGTAGTGCCTTGGTATGGGATTCAGGTTTACATGATGTGGAGTCAAATATAATATCGACCATAAATATACCGTAAAAAAAGTCAGACTCAATCAAATTGGAGAATGGAGCAATAATCCTCTATCCCCCTCAGCGGTTCTGGGCGACGGTTACCCTCTGCATGTGGCAGGGTGTGACATATTTCATTCGGTTCAACCCGTCTCTTCCTCCTCTTTGCTTCTTGCGCGGCTTCATTTTCTTCACGTTTCCTTTTGCCACTGCAATGTCCTCAAACGCCATGATCTTAGTCTTCCCTACTACCGTCGACTTTGTACGCTGTCGACTTTTCTTCTCGTTATTCTGCTCAAACAAGTCGGAGTTCTGACGTAGAAGAAGCGAACGCTCCGCAAATGCTCTTTCCGTCGCATTTAATTTATCTACATCTACTCACACTGCCTAGCCACCGTTACCATAAGGTGGGATTACCCGGAAACTTAACAATCACCAAGCCCTGAGCATGTGCATATCTGTACCCATGCTGACCTGAAGCATGCTGCGGAGTACCCACACTATTGTGCCACAATAGGATCCAACAAACGCCAATCGACAGATGATAACACCCATGGGAGGTCTGAGGAAAATGTAAAGACAGGATACCATGCCAGCCAGGCTTGCCATGCCAACTTCGGACCACGCTTGAACCTGGCAGCCAGCTAAAGTACTTGACCAAACATTTAGTATGTGGGCATTATGTAGCAAAAGGGTAAAGCTGACTTACAACCAAGCCCCCAAAAGGAATGCCGAAGTTCTTATTCCAAGGGACGTTGATATTGTTCGATGATTTGCAAAGCTGTCTGGCTTTGTATCAACAATCGACGCCAGTCCGTGGCAGGCACAGGCATAGAAGAAAACAAAGGCACCATTACTGTCATCACCAGTCTCATATACCAGGGCCTTTCCTCCGCCAGAACAATATCCACTTGCCCAAAATAGCCAGAGAATGGCTCCATTTGATATTGAGTCTAAGACTGGTATCTCCTCAAGCCGCATCGGCGGCGAGGAGTATGCCCAAGTGAGAAAGAGAAATGATAAAGTGCATAGTAGCAATCGAGGAGTTTGAATTGCTGCAGGTATGGAGCACAAGACGATAAGGATAGTAGTAACCTTGGCAATAAGGAGCACGAAATTATGATTTTCCCGAGGTAGTAATGCACCTTCTGACCAAAACTTTGTCTTTCGAGGATTTTGCATATCGGAATCATAGTCGTAAACATCATTAACACCAAAAGTGACTTGCACAAGTAATCAGAGTTAGAAGCATATACTTTCTTTGTGAGAGTTCCTACCTAAGCACAAAGGGAAAGATAGAGCAATGGCGAATAACATTGCTGGTATTGTCGACGGAACGACATCGGCGTGGATAATGCCCGAAAGGTAGAGAGATGGGGCCACTGGCCACCAAAGAGGGCGACTGGCCATGTATAACACTTTGAGTTTCTCCGAAGGGATCCATGTAGAAGGCTTGGACATATCTCTAAACTCTCAGTACTGTGAGCAAACCTGAAATTTAGATTTTGACAGAAATGTCTGACCTTGTAAATAGCAAGAAGACATACACCTCTTATAGACTTGTGCCTTGGCAAATGCACTGCTCCCGAGGGCCATCGGGCCAATATTTGGCTACGTCATGTAGCAAGGCACTTTCCGAAGTACGGCAATACGAAGCTAAGGGCAGCGCAGCTCTGTTAGAGAAAGGAAATTAGCGACAATTCCAGATCGGCTAAACTGCCGATCAATTTTACGAAATCCAACGGAAGTAAGAGTATTATACCGATGACCCATCGCTTATATGCAGTCATTACAGATACCATTTTGCCCAAATTACAAAACTGGTAGCTTAAGGCATGCTAGCGCATGTCGGATAACGTAATCCACATACGAACGGATTACACAAGCGAGCGGATCAATCCGCCCACCACTACGTTTTTGAGCTAGATTTTTACCACAAAAACGCCATTATATTGAGAAATCTATCTACTAGGGCACCAGGTAATTGAATGGCTTATTCTATGACAGCCGCTACACCTTGCCTGCCGCCGTCAGGTTGGTGGAGGTGGTAGAACAGGCGGCTCAATAGGCTCTGGTAGAGGTTGCTCAACAGGTTCAACAGCCTGAATTGGCTGCTGAATAACCTTTAACGCTTCTTCAACGGTAAACCCTCCTTCGTGTGGTATTTTTCGATATGATTGTGTACGCTTTTGTCGTTTCTTTTTATTTGCAGTGCGTAAATCAACATTTTCCTTTGCTAGAAGCGCGGCGTTATGCATCGAGAGATAGCAGCCTTGAATAACTTGATCAAGCATGATTTTAGTTGGAGTTGGAGGGCTTTTTGAACGTTCCTTAAGTAGCGCTTTAAGTAAAGAAGCTTGCTTTTTAAACCTAGTATTGTAAAGGGACCTGCAAAATTCGAGGAGTAGCTCCAGCCACCGATTGATACGAGAACTTGCAACTTCCGATTTTCTTTTTCACCCTTGTATGTACCAATGCAACCGAATAATGTAGCTACTCCGTAAATTTCACCTTCCGCACTAAATCTTCTACAGCAAGCTTGATTGCTGCGATACTAGGTACGCTGTATTTTACGGTGGCTTTCAACTTAGTGTGGTCTGGCCATTACAAGACATGCGCTAGGGTCTTGGCAGAGGGGCCTGAGATAAGAAAAGCAGCCGCAGGGTGGAAGCCGTTGCTATCGACTATACAGTAAAATAACATCTTTAAAGAACTTGAATATCTAGGATTTATTCTCCGGGAATCAGGTCTAAGGAGTGCAGGGTCAAAAAGAATTCGAAAACTACTGTACTGTGCTAGAATAATGGGCTAAGGGGGATGACGGATGATCTAACACCGTTTTCCGGAAATACTGTTTAAAGATAGAGTTCATGAATCTCATTATATGATCAGCCAATAGCTTTCAATTCAACAGGTTTAACGCGTTCATATGGTGCTGATTGACAATGTCGCACACGCTGAGTAACGTTTGGATGCTGGCTTGGTGTGCAGAATTGATTACTCATTATTTGATGTATTGGTAAATCGAATTGGGGGCATATTGAACTGTTCGTATTGTATATAGTACATAGTTTGCATATTTAGGAATTTCAGTTATACTTTATACTGATCGGTAGATTAATTATAATAAAAACGAAGTACATAACCTTCAATTTGGACTAATACTGTACTTTAAAGATACACCCAGAATTTTCGGGATCCATTGATGCTGACTGCAGTATTAAAAGCGACACAAATGGGTAAACTGGGAGCTTGTTTGGAAAGCTCTTAACAGATTTGCCGAGAATGCAACAGATGCCGCAGCGACAATAATATGCATAACCACCAAGCTGAGATGAGAATGAACAAAGAACCCGAGTCGTTCAGGCAGGTTCATTGCATAGATGCTAGCCCCCAATAGCCACATTATATGGAGTTTCACATATTCGGCTGCGATATCATAACGGCATGCCGTTGGCTGAAATATTGCATAGATCGCTGGGAGAATTGCGATTACACACAAAAGACAACATGCCGCAATGGAATCACGGCGCATATAAGAGAACTGAACGAAGGAGCTGAACCATACGGACAGAAAAGTCATAATAAATAGCAGTGTAAGCTGAAGCAGCGGTGTATGGAAGAACTGGAAGTGCAAAAATGGAACCGAAGAAGCCCATGTCATGAATATAACACAAGCATGGGAATTCTCCTGACTTTCACCGATTTCAGTCGGACGAAGCAAAGCTAGCAAATATACGGCCATCATTCCACACAAAAAGCAAAAGATAGCAATGACATCTAATCCTGCCATGACGGCCTGTGCTAATGGACGATGGAAATATTCAATGGTCAGGCGCAAAGCCAAGAGCGCAAGTAGTGAACTGGTAATACCATGGACCAAAGACATGAAAGCATGCTTTGGGAATCGAGTTAGCTGTAGCTCAGCCATTTTGAAATTTTTATTTCGATGGTAGAAGCCATTGATGAGAATGCAATTAGCCTTATAGTCGAGGAGTTAACACCCGGGCTCTTTTTGAGCAGACAGGTTCAACGAGCCAGCGAAACTAAGTTCCCCGTCGTTGAAAGCGAGGAAGTAGAATGGAGAAAAATAGAATATCAGCGAGTTGAACATAGAACGCCAAGGAAACCTTCGTGCTATCATATATTAGCTAATTGGTGACTCTTGGTAAACTACAACTGAGAATGTATAATTTTATTACAAAGACTGCTGCGATATGCGTCACATTAGTGCAGACTAGCGCTACGGAACGTGCTCATCGATATGGAAACGTGAATCTATATAATCATTGTCCGATGGCTCTCTATATAGAAGGTTATCAAGGCTCTGGGTACCCGTATCTGAGAACAAAGTTACAACCACTCGCAAACATTTCAATGCCAATGAGAGAGTCCTTTAATGGCACTGGTAACTCAATTAAGGTCGCCACATCGCAAGGGAGTCTAGATATTCTTCAAATAGAGTATAGCGCATGCTTTGAGCCCAAGAGCACATGCGGGCCTGCAGAGCAGACCTATTATGATATCTCGAAGATAGACGGTGATCCTTTACTAGATCAAGGAGTTGCGATCATACCGTCCTTTCCGGATTGTCCCAAAATTGAGTGTGCAGCCGGAGACCACCACTGCCCGAATGTATATTACCAACCCTTAGACAATTGGGCGGTCAGGGAATGCGATAGCAAATCCAATTTGAATGTTTATTTTGGGGGCATTAGATGATTACTGTGGTTTAGCATGTCTATTACTCTACAGTGCTGTAAGGTACTGTACCGTACCCATAAGATGCAAATAGTTCTCTACTATAGTAAATGAAGGAGCACAGAAGCACAGAATTGCCAATGGATCTTCCAATGACATTTCGGTACTATATGGAATACTATGACCTGCCTGCAATTTTTGACAGCCTAGCTCTGCCGCATTATTCTGCGGGTGCTATTGTAATGTAAGTTACTGCGGTGCCTCTCTTCTTACCTATATGAAACTCTCAACGTAGCTAGTGATGCGGGAGAGGATGCTCGAAGCAGCACGATCAGAACGTGCGGTTCGAATGAGACAAAAATGGAGCATCACGAACCACCACCAATAGCACGCAATGTAATTACCGATAAATAGCACGTTGTGAGCCAGAAGTGTGTATTGAAGCTATCTCTGGTCTCCGAAACGAAGATATCTACCTCAGTAGTCCACAAGGGACTAGCCTGCTATTCTAGAATCGACTAATTGTAATTTTGCGTATATCAACCGCTTCTCTCCAGTACACTAGATAAGGCGCTACAAACAATATACATGTTTACAAATTTCTCTTTAATGTATCTCTGTTGGTAAGTCAAATCCGACACTTACCTGATCACGTAGAGGGGTGTCCATTGAGTAGTACCCTTTCTACATTATACTGTATTTCTTTAAGCGCAGTTGAAATTGAGAAGAATATTACATTCATAAACTAATACATCATTCAGTAGTTTTACGCCTTTTCGATGGCCTTGGCTCAGGTGACATTCGTCCACGCTTAGGAGGAACATGACAGCAACACACCCGTTGCGGCTTCCAGGTATGCCTGTGGTCCGATCTACCGAATGAAGCCTCGACACCCTGGAATTTGAGAATCCTGGAGAGTGTAGTCGGAAATCCGTTAATCCTTTCACTGAACGTTTTACTTTTGATAGATAATGAAAATTCTTCTACTGGGCTCGAAACTGTGAACTGAACACGTTTGCGGTAGTAAGCGCATACAGTACATCCCTGGTGTTCAGTAACTGAGCCAAAATTGGCACCGGGCACCATAGCAAAGATAGGATCCTGATACTCTCTTTCAACCGCATCCAACATGTTGTCAAGGTCCCCTTTCACAAGAATAGACCCTGTGCATAGAATTCCTCGATCCATGTGGGCTGGTTCCGTATCAAGCTCGAAGAAGAACAGGCGTGAAATTATCATTTGACAGAGTCGTTTGGGAATAGTATATGGCAGAGATACGAGATCCTTGATGCTCGTGACACTATCAAGCTGTGGTAGCCCGTTCTTTAAGTGGAGATTAAGCCTGAACACGTTTTCTTGGGCCCCGCGAGGAAGATTATCATACGCGTCTTGAAATCCTTCGTTCCCGTCAACAGCAGGACCATAGATAAAAGCATGAAGTGCACGATGGATGAATCCATTCCGACGCGGTGAAAGCTTGGGGGTAAGAGAAAACCCCGTTCCAACACTGACAACCAGACTAGGCTCAACATTAGTAGGCCACATGTCTAGAGTTTCTCGTATAGCAACTCGGAGCGGACAATTTGCTCGAACACCAGCGTCCTGAAGTAATCCAATTCCAGGAAGAAACATTGGCTTGAAGTATCTAGTTTTCGATTAGCGCAGGGTTAAATTCCTCGTCCAATACGATCATACCCGAGTGCAGAAACACTACATCTCGCACTATTATGTGTTAGTAACAGACTTTGGACATCTTTTACGCACGTACGCTTGCCATAGTCGCGGTTCTTCCTCCGTAGGAATGATTGTTGTGTAGGATCTCCGATAGCTATCGTGACCCAGGTGGCGATAGTTAGTCAGCAAACAAAGCTTGCCGTTTTCGTCTACCTGGCTTGCTGTTATTGCCACACTGCCGCTTGTTTGTTTGGTTGGTGGAGATTGAAACAAATATCGAGAGCCTCCAAAGGCCTTCTTCAGAGCGGCATCTAATGCATTGGAGTCATATTGCGCATCTGCTAACCAGAATTTAAACATGTCCCATCCCTTTCCAACAAAAGTCAATCGCCGAGGCTGGGGAGGGAATATCTCCTCAGCAAATGATGTAAATCGTGATATTGCATCAGAGGCATTCCGCTGATCGCAGAAAATGTCGATGGCAATAAGGGCACCTGTTGCGGTTAATGGTGGAATTACAGCATACCGAGCCACAGTTCACAGCATACCTGCGCTAGTACCTACCGTTAAATTAGGAATCTGCCACAGGGGCAAGGGTATTCGCCTTTCCAGCTCTTGTAGGAAACGGAGCGTGATAACTCCACGTATACCACCACCATCAAGCGCGAAAACTATTGGAGATACTGTTGGTGGGGGGCAATGTACAATGTAATTCAAACTTTGGAAACATAAATAGCATTTGCGTAGTTGAAATGAATGGTCTGGGATCCGTGCATTGATGCCCCATAAGCGTGCACAATTATAGCATAAGGAGTGCCCACATGGAAGAATGGCGTCTGGTCCTCGAAGTAAACAGCTCAAACAAGTCGAATTCGTCTTCAATGATCTCCAGGTGGACGGCTTCGAATTGAGGTATGACCGTCGTTGCTCTAGTGAAGAGGATACTCCCACTGTGGTCCATGATTGACAGAAATGGCGTAGAATATCCTGGCAAAGATATTGAGCATGCTCTGGAAAGCGCTCAGTCCATGCATCAAAACAAATCTGTTGATAATGGGATAAAAACACCTGCTCTGGTCGGAATACTAAAGCCTGTCAGTTCAGAACTAAATTTGACAGAATGCCCCACGAACAGTGCATGTTTGGAGGGTACGCGTCCATTAACAAAGCGTTTGCAATGAAATGGACTTGTTCCTCCTGTGAAAGTGTGGTCGTGGTCGATGAGATGAAGTGTCGCAAGTGTCTTACCGCCCCTGCAGGGACGGGATTTTCCTCCCGGGCAGCGTGAACCGGCGAGAAAACTGCATCCGGCTGTTGTGTGATGATGTATAACGCCTTTTTCAGTAGGGACTCGAGATGTATCATAGAAAACAGCTCATTTTCCGGATCATGAAGATCCCAGCCGGCCCGTGCATGATCAAAGAACATTGATTGGAGCGGCTGGAACCTGGCACATGGAGACATAGATTGACGGCCAGTTAGGTCAAGGGTGACCAGGCCAGATATCATCTTCTCCAGCAGAGCGCATTGTAAGTGATAGTCTATAGTCACCGATTTAGATGCTCGAGTCTCATTTTTGGTCTGGATGAGAGCTAATCCTGGTCGTGCTGCGAATGGCTCATAGCGGTGCGCGATATCAGCCAACCATGACCAGAGTATTTTTTGAACTTCATCTATACCCCCTAGATCATCAACAAATATATATATTGTGTGAACAAAAGGACATATTGCGCAGCTCAAAATTCTGTTTTTGCTTGCAAGGTATGACTGATTCTCGACACACCGAATTTGCCACGCAGATGCTGGAGGGATCTTCAACGAACGAGGAGAGTCATGATGATTTCCTTCAAATACTAGTATGGGTCGAGGGGTAGCACTACTATGTGCAATCATATGAAGTTTTAAAATGCCGGGAGAACAGCGCTTTTGAGTGTTACTATGCGGAAATATCGATTTCAATGCCATTGACTTTGTCGCCCCTCCGAGGAATAGACAGGTAGTCGGGTGCTGATTCAATGGGTCATCCAGAAGTTGTATCAGCTCACGGAGTCGGCCATGGTCTACAAGAATCCAGCCATCACTGTTGGAGCGCAGCTCTAGCCATGTAGACATAGTATCAAGATTGGTTGCTCTTCGCGATGTATCCCTATAGAGTGCGCATACGGACCAAGGCAATGATAACGGCGAGCGTAGGTGACCATCATTCCGAGTTGGAACTAGCCTGTGTATTTAAGAGCTCAAAGTGTATTACAAGAAAATCGAGGCTGCGAATCAACCATTATTCTCTCAAAGCAATAATTTAGGACCGAAAAACGAACTTCATCCCTGAAGATACACAGTGGGCGCCTCCATCTTTCACAACATGAAGGACCGTGGATCTAGAATTAATTTGCTGATAACTTTTTATTCATTAATTGGTAGGCCTGGATTTGGAGCAGAAAGAGTGGACTCACGAAGAATGATACCCATGGCCTGAAAAAGCTCTATTGCCGGCTCTTGTGTTGTTGGAAGTGATGAATCCAGTGAATAATCAGGTTCTACCTCATACACAGGACTTTCATTATCACCAAGTGATATAAAGGTGCCTGTATCCGATGAATCTGGCGGCGAGAGTGATGAAGGTGCCATAAGCGGGGATTGCGAGTGATTCAATTCCGGGGACATAGATGAACGTATGCCAGGTTCAATATGATCGCTTATGTCGGATTCGATATCACCGGAATATAGTAAGCTATTTGATATCTGCGAGGTGTTGGGTGCTGCCCTGGTTGCTTTTGAACTAGGAGTATTTGCTTGACGGTTCAATAGTTTCGAGCCACGCTGTCGAGACGTGCGTTGGCGAAGAGATTTAGGTCTCCAACCCCACTTCATTCGGTTGAATATGCCGCGAATCGATTCTGCGCTACGCCTTTTGTCGAACTTGGCTTTCCAACCCCTAGACATGTGCTTCCATGATGGGTCTTTTTGGGGGTTATCGAGAAATGCTTCTAGTATCTCTAGAAGGTACTCATATTCCTTATCTTCCCATTTCATTTTGTGGCCTGGTGAACAACAAAGAAGTCAAATAAGTAGACAACGCTATTGATCTCCGTCAGAAATCCTTTTGGTGTTAAATAATCCCTTAAGAACTACCAGATGCATTTGGCCTCAAATAGAAGATGACAAATGCCCATATTGAATTCTTGTTCCCTCTCCTGGTAAATTCTACATTTTTAGCAATCATTTCTATGCCAATCATTTTCCCTCAAAATCTTGGAAAATTAAATTAAATCACGAACAGGCAAGGGAGCCGCGGTCGGCTTTGTTGAACGGCTATGCAGGGATCTAAGAAACCAATCGGATTGTCTATCACACCAACAGCGCGTCAAGTTCCCAGATGGGCAACTAACTTTTGATTCACACCAATCAAATATCCTAGTAAATCTTGGCAACTTTTGAAAGGGAGGGGTCGCTTTCCTTGCATCGACGGGCTGGCATATGGGTATCACCCCATGCCCCCGGATTTTGAACGGAGAGAGGAAAATTCTACTCTTGACATAGACGCCAAATGTCCAAAATGGAATCCCACCGAGACATCGAAAAGCTTCATTCTACTGTCATTCTTCTGCATCATCTAGAATCCCAGTTGCGAACTCACGATGACCTGGTAAGTTCTGAAGCGATGCTTTACTGTATATAGAGCTTGGGGCGGCCTGACATTATGCAACAGCACCGATTTTTGAAGCCTGATCATGCAAGATGCGTTGCGATAATGCAATGCTTCCGGGACTTGTGCATACGGCTACTGATAGTTATACAACGTACTCGGCAGTCCCTTAGATTGGACACTCATACTCTCAGTGTGTTAGCGCGCCTTGGACTTGATTCGATTGACCCCATGATAGCCCCATCACACCAACGACAAATTTTCATGGAAGATCTACCAGTCCAACCAGAGCCACGTCAGCTACCAGCGTACAGTTCGGAACGTGTGCCTACAATAAGGCCATCGACCTCCGATATTGAACTGCCACCGATTTCGAACCCACCAGAGCCAAATCTTCTACACGATCAGAACCAGACACGTCAGTACTTGACGCAACAAAGCTACCCCTCCGATCGACCATATGAACGTAACATAAATCTGGACCAGGCTGTTGCGCTTGGCAGCCAAGATAGCAATAATGATATATTGGGCCATCAGGAGATCTTAACCGATTATAACTCCGGGGGACTGAATTTGACTGGGCAGCCGGAAGATATATTCACAGGACATCTTTTTTGAGCTGGAAGAGAAATGGAGTTTATTAAACATCACCAAGGAGCGTGAATACCATCGAAACGTGGATTCAAACATGGACTTCGTGAAGCGAATCTGTCTTTCTGAAAGAATATCCACATTAAAAGACCGTATGAAGATTGCATATTCAGATGGCTTACTACCAACACACAAAGGGTCGCCTATTGAATATGGAAAGCTTCTTTTAGAATTCGAACGAACGCCATTAGTATACAGTATTCTAGCACCAGGGTTTGCATGGGTTCTATTGGCGGGTTATCTCGTGCTGCCAGGCACATTTGCATCTCTGAGATCATCTGAAACCTTGAAACCAACTGCAACAAAGAACGAAATCGGATCTAAGCTATATGGTCATATTGAGCGCGTGCCTCTCCTATGGGCTGCTGGCATACTTTGCTGTATTGGAGTTATTGGAGAGCTCGTGCTTTGTTGGAAGTTAAAAAGAAACTTAGTGTTTCTAATCAGGAAGATATTCATGTAATGATACACCACAGACAAAAATTATATATTTACTGATCCGAGATACTGTACTAGGCCTATTGTCATCAACTCTTTCACCGGTTTGGTAAACACCCTCATCACTATTTATACCGGGGGATCGTGGTCTGTGACTGCTCGGGCGGCGGTAATTGTTACGTCCAGTTTAACATTGGTGTGTGGCTCGGCTGTTTTGTTCTTTGAGTGGCAGTTTTCTCTTGTCAAAAGACAGTGGGATGAAGAGAAGAAAAAACGAGCGAAACGAAATGAGAATCAGAGTATCTCCCCCAGGCCAATAAACATATGCGCCGATGCCAATACGTAGATCCCGTACAGTATTCGGCCAATATTCTATTAGACCTGGGCTTGGTACATCTAGGACACAATGGTGCAGTTTTCAGAATACTCTATACTATTTCCGTCGAGACAGTAACACATGCCGGATGAGATGTCTGTGAATCTATAGTCAAGTACAGTACAATAGAGAGTCAGACTTGATCAAGTACTATCGCACAAAGGCAGGGCTAGGAAAATCTTACTTCACAAAGCAGCCTAGTTGGAATAGCGCCGGTTTGCTTGTTGTTGTGGGTGTATTTAAAAATTG